TTTTACGAAATATGTACTTACTGCTTTAATGTTATTTAATTTCCCTAGATTGTATGGATATATAAATGGTGGCAAATTCCGATCTTGTTCACGCCTTGATATTGCTTTTCCCACAATCCAATCTTCAATATTTGTACAATTTTTTAGCACATATTTCATCTATTGAAAAAATACATTATTAGCACATTATTATATTATATACAAGGCATATCCAGAAAGTAAGAGTACTGTTCAGCTGTCGTGCTGTGAGAATTTTTTTTCTAACAGTTAGCAACACCAAGTGGTAGTGGGGGGGTCCCTTGAACCCAACAAGCATAGCCGATCCACGTCATTACCAAAACTTGCCTCGTAGTGTTCGTTTTTGTGAAAAATGTCTATAAGAAATCCCGCCAAGTGCAAAACGCATGCTGTCATAATAAGGTTCCCTCTCTCAGAATTTTTTAGTTCCATTGTGACTGGTGATGAAACATGGGTGGCTCATTACACTCCTGAGACAAAAAGGCAGTCATCACAGTAGCAAAATCACTGGTTCCCCTTCTGCCAAAAAGTTCAAAACTTCAATTTCGGACAAAAAAATCGTGGCATTCGTGTTTTGGGACCAAAAAGGGATAATTTTGATTGATTTTTTGCCTCATGGGGAGACAATTAATGCAGCACAATACTGAAAATTTATTAAAATTGTTTGGTAACCACCTTGGTATACCGTCCTCACTTGGATTGTATTTGATTAATTAACATTTTTTATTCTATAAATGTCAATAAAAATGTATTCATCCGATCAAAAAGCTTAAAAATGTAATACGTAAGTTTTTATAATAGCTAAAATATTAACGATACATAGGCATCATGGTTTTTTTTTTATAAGCATTTAAAGTTCAAATTTCGTCAAAACCACAGTTAATTTGTTGTTCAAAACTTATAAAATATTAAATGTGTATAGCTAAGGCTAGACAATTTAATACAAGGTCTTTTATACAAGTAGTTCATACTTTTACCTAACAATTGGAAACAAAAAGAAAATTGGTATGTTTTTTCAAGAATGAATTCATTCTGGTAAGACATAATATGAAATTTACGTCTTACTTAACATAGTTTACGGTTGAAACTTGATAAATATTCTTTGAAAAGTAATAATAATGCAGGCATGGTTATTTTTTAGAAGCATTTAAAGTTCACATTTTTTCAAAACCACAGTTAATTTGTAGTTCAAAACTTATAAGATATTAAATTTGTATAAGCTAAGACTACAAAATTTAATACAAGGTCCTTCATACAAGTAGTTCATACTTTTACTGAAAAATTACAGATTATTTTAGGAAAATTGGTAAGCAAATACAATGTTTTTTCAAAAATGAATTCATTCTGGTAAGACGTATATGAAATTTACGTCTTGCTTACTATAGTTGAAAGTTGAAACTTGATAAATATTTTTTTTTTTTAAGTAATATAATTCGGGGTGCCGCCACTGGGTGACTTCCCCCTCCCGCTAATCATCCCCATCCCATTTACTTATTGTAATACATGTAATTATAGATTGTAAATAAAATTTTTTTTGTTCAATAAAAAAAAAAAAAGTAATATAATCCACTGCGGACGCCACTGAAGGTGGCTATGTGGAAAAATAAGTAATATGTATATCTACAATGTCCTGTAATTTTTTTTTAAATATATTCTTTTTAAAAAAATACAAAAATTGAGGACTCTTACTTTCTGAATATTCCTCGTAGTTTTAATATTTCATTAATATGTTACATGTATTGATGTATACACAAAATATTACACTTATATAAGTTTTATAACAAGTTATATTAGGTAAATAGGTGTTTATTTAAATAATTACTTAACATGCACTCACTTGTATAAATAACAGTAAACTGAGTGTAAGGATTAAACATATAGCTAATCCAAATGCTGTAAGCCATAAAAGGGTTAACTTTAATGGAAAATATACCAATACTCGATGTCCATACTGGCTGTTTAAGTATGTAATAGAAAATAAAATATATAAGGTCAAAACTAATTTAATCTATTAATAATTACAAAAACTTACTTACGCGAGTACAAGCAGAAGGGTCCTGAGTAATAATGTGGATGATTGAATAGATGCTACAATGGATACAAAAATAAATATCACAAAAGATGGATGATTTGCATGACCTACACAAGTGTTCAACCACGGACAATGATGATCCATTTTTAACACACAACGGTTACCTAAATTAAAGATTTTAAAACATATAAAACAGATAATGATAGTTTAAAATATTTCAGATAATTACATTTGTGACAATGATGAACACGGGGTGCTTTGTACCCATCACATATCGTACAAAACTGCAAATACTGTTGGTCTTCTTCAAGTTCCTGAGAAACAAAAATCAAGTTTAGAATTTTGTGCAATAGAGAAATTCTAATTTTATAGGTAGTACCGGTTTCCATTTGAGTGGTAGAAATCCTGGACCAACAATAACTGATTTCAAATAACATGAAAAGCTGATGACAAATAACGTCAGCAAAAGTGCGTTATTGAGAAATCCTCCCAATGAACCAAAACATGGCCACCACATTTCCGTAAAATATAATGTTGTCAGTGTTACAAATTTGAAAATTGCTGAAATACACCCAAAATCAAATAAAAACACCTATGGATACACAAAATATTATTAAAAATAAGCACTTACTAATTGACAAAATTGGTCCCCAATGGAGAAATCTTGTCAAAGATGGTTGACGTGCGGGACGCATTTTGAGCAAGTCGATAACTTTCCATTAATTTGCTATAATATTCATGACGGTAAATAATTAAAGAAACCTTTGAAGTTAAAAGTTTTCCCCAATGTACCTATAGTTGTATTTAAATATAAAACATTATAAGTATTAAGTACAAATAATACATTAGATTGTAATCTATTATCATTTATAAATGATAAATGATAATTATGTTTGTGAAGATAGTGCCGGCTCAATGAAATTTCGGGACAAGTACCCAATTCAGGGTCACAGACAAATTAATTAATTAAATTCAAATTAATCTTTTTTCTATGGTCACAGAATATATATTGATTCGCGGTTTTAACCATAGATATAATTGTATCAATAAGTTTTTAATTATGTCGTATAATATAAATGTGCCTAGCGCCATAAACACTTAAAGATTGTTGATCGTAAATTCGTAATATTACGAATGTCGAATCGTAATCTTCTGCAAAATTTGGATCACTACCTTTTGTTCGGCATTTTCTATGTGTCCACCTATCCCAGCTTTGTTTATTGATATATTTAAAAATGCATTTTCGATATTATGTTTAATAGTTCTGTTTGGTATATTATGTATATTTATATTAAACATCAATTTAAAAAGCTTGAAAAACGTAATACAAGATCCAACATAAGTTGTTCAGTTGTAGCAATGTTTAAACACTTTAAACAATGAATTAGAATTATTACTTAGCTACAATTTTCTGATTTTATAAGCGTTTTAAATTTGAAATTAAAATGTCGATGAAATTGGCTACCTATTTATTTAAACTTTAAAATAAAATTTAAATTTGTTGTTATTTAAAAAAAATACTTTTCGTTGGTTTGAAACTTTTCGATACCTTGTACTTCGTTGATTATTATTTACTTACCATTGGTAGGTAAACAATGAAACTTTCAAAAAATGTCCATTAATTTTAAGCAGTTAATACAGTTCTATGGTACGTCAGTACTGACTTACATATTATGTAGGCATCTATGTATGAAATTAGATTATAATATTAAGTTACTATATTATATTTGAATAGCATAATAGGAAGGTACAGGGGTGGATACAAGTGTGGTGGCAAACGCTTCTTCACCCCACCTCTTGGACGTTATTTTTAATATATTTTTTATTATAATATTTGGCTAAACAAAAATACAATTTAATTTTTGACAATTTGTCCTCAACTCTTGGGTGACTTCTGAAGCCGTTACTGGGTAGGTACTTAATATAGTCAAATCCTTTAAGCATAAAGATATTTTTACAGATAATTCACAATAAGTATTTTTCAATCTAAGGGCCGTTCTTACAATGTCCGGTAAAGTGTCGGTTAACGCTAACTGACTGATAACAGATTTTATTACCGGCAGAATTCTTCCGGTTAAGTGTCGGTTAACTTTAACCGGACATCGTAAGAACGGCCCTTAGTGTCCGTATAGACTGGACAAGTAAAATAATTGTTTAATTTTTAGTTAATTTTGAGAAACAAAACTCTTCCATCCGAGATTAGGGAGAACCAAATTTTAAAGGTACCTTTACAACCTTACCAAGTCACAACTCTGAGTATAAACTTGTGGCTAATAAAAAACCAGCTATTAGCTCAATATTGAATTGTATATTACATCCATATTTTGAAAATAATATTTTGCATCAAATTAAAAAACACTATCATAATATTTTATAGGTTTTTAATATGAATAAAATTAAATATCAATTGTATTTCAAAAATAAAATGTTATATAATATAACTATGTATTGTAAAGAACAAACAGAAAAAATACTTTTTGACACAGAAATTTATGGAAACAATAATATTGAGTATTTTGTAATTAAAGGAATGGTAGTAGCAGTGGATATAAAATATTTTACATTTTTAAAATTTTTAAAATTAATAGTTTTACTAAGAAAAATGTAAATTTATGGAATTTCACAACATGTCACATAAAATCGATTCTAAAAAGAATATTATTTTTTTATATAACATAATTCGTTTTAAAATTATAAAAGCAATAAAGTGTGTATATAACATTATGTACTAGCACTATAAACAATGAAGGCACATTATATTTAGTAGATTAGTATATAATATATAAATTTGTATAAAAAATAACTAGTTGAAAAATCTAAATATAGGTGATTTGATAACATAAAAATAAATTTAATGATTTTAATACACAAAATAATTGAATGAAAAATAAGAACCGGTTAATTTTATATCAATCAGTTACACTTAATTTATGAGATATATTTTCTCTTGTCAATGATTAATGCTGAACAAATTACCCGAACTCATATCGTGTGGAATTATTCCCAAGTCAAATTCTTGAGTTTCATCCTAAATTGTAAAAAAACATTGTGAATGTTTAGTTAACAGGTGAAATAATCGGCTTAGAAAACTAATGTTAAACAAACCTCTCCTTGAAAATATTTCTCAACTATACTGAATGACATCTCATAAATCTTTTGAGAAGAATGATTCTGCAATGCTTCTAGGTGATCTAATCCACTTGCTTCCTCAATTAACATACAAAGCTTGCCTCGGGTGCATTCAGATTTCTAAAATGCACAAACCACTGCTGTTAGAATATGTGACAAAATGTAGCATAGAATCTGTATCTTACTTCCAATAATTGATTAAGACCTTCCAGTATAATTTCTACCATTCTATCATCTGAAGATATTAATAAGCCACAATAAGGTTCCAATATTCCAATATCGATCAGATGAGATTTCTGAGCATCTGAACCACCACTAAATAGATTGTTTATGGCCCAAGCAGCTTCTTTTTGTACTTTGACATCTCCCTATTATAATAATTATATATTTAACATTTGTTTAAATTAAGAGGTAAGGCAAACTCTAGTAACCCAGTGAATAAATATCTAGTCCCGCCTGAAGAATTTGACAGTCAAGAAGGATTCTACACACTCAGAAATACAAGAAGATAAGGATATACTGCAAGTTATGATGGACTTGCCGGGTCGGAATCCAGATATAAGGATTCTTTTTATTTTAATAAAAATATGTTGTAGGGCTGGGCAGTGGCGTAGACATGATTTCTGAAGGACGGATCAAAAAAAAATAAAACGACATAGCCAAATGGGAGGAGAAAATAGGAAAATCCCCCACCCTCTCAAAACATTTTACTTAGGTAGTAAAATAATTAACAATAAAGAACAATGAATATAATTTAAATTGATTCAAGATTCACATCAAACACACCCAATGGGTAGATCTGACCCCCCCTCTTGTATATGCCACTGGGGCATTTTTCTAACCGGTTTTATGGTCATGGTAACTAATTAACATAAACATATTAATGATTCATATATTTTCCTTGTAGAGGAAAAAATATTGAGTAGCACACACTATTTTATTCAAAACCTATTTAATCAAAATTCATAACTTAGTTCTTACACGTTGTAGAGCTCGAATCAAAACTGGCAATAGATTATGATCAATGGCTGCTTGAATTTGTTCTACACTACCAGCCATCACATTTGATAACAACCAAGCAGCATCTTTCACAACAGGAATACGCCTGTGATTTAATAGACTATGAAGGTATTTAAGTATACCATGATCCAATGCATGCTTTGTCTACATAAATACCAGAGGATTAAAAAATTAAAATAAAAAATGGCATTTAATACAACAAAAAAACTTACTTGTATATCATTACCAGACACAATATTGCCAACTACTCGTAGCGCAGGTATAAGTATGGTAGTGTCATCAACTTCTAAATATTTTAAAATGGCCTTTAATGTACCTGCTTCAATAATTACTTGAATTTTTTCATTGCTCCCATCAGTCAAGTATGATAAAGCCCAGCAAGCATTAGCTAACACATACAAATAGATATTAATATAATATTTGATAAATACTACTTAGAAGTATTACAGTATTTACTTACAAATAACCTGAGAATCATTATGACTCAACATTCCAACCAACAATGGAATAGATGGAAGTAAATAATTAAAATTTGGAGGAGGAGTTTTGCTGCGACAAAGATTTGATAGCGTCCATACTATGTTCTGTTGTGCAGTTACTTGTTCTGTTGTTTCTAATAACCTGTTTAAAATTGGTACAATACCGTTTGATAATACAATATCCCTAAGTTGGGGTCCATCACCCGCAATATTTCCTAATGCCCAAACAGCTTGTTCCATCACACGTATATCTGGCGATTTGAGCAAATTTATAAGTAAAGGAACTGCACCCTCATTAACTATACAAATGGTGTTCGCTGATGATCCTGATGCAACGTTTGTCAATATCCAAGCACATTCATATTGGAAATCAGTGCTGTAAAAATTCATATTATTAAAAATATTTAAGATTTATGTATAGCCAACAATCATCATACTCATTGTTATATTTTGGAGTTAAGAAATCCATCAACATTGGTAAAATACCAGCTTTAATGAAGTCATCAATGGGAGCACATTTTCTCGAACTTAACATCTTACGAGCATATTTTAAGCAACTCAATTTCTTTACTGCTGATGTTTGACTCTTTAAACCTTGATACATAATTTTAAAATAAATTAAAATTATTAGCAATAAAAATATTCAGTAGATAAGATATTGAAAAAAAGAAATTTTAATTCACCTTCTTTGATATCAACAATTGTCAATTCAACTTCAGGTTTTATTTCCAATTCATCATCATGGGCATCTAAAACTATATTTCTATGTTTTTTCAACTGTTCATCTCGTAAGGTTTTTCGCAACTCAATAGTTACATCATTACGTTTACGACGTAAATCCTAATAAACCACATAAATTATAATTAATGAAATTACAGTAACTCTTTAATTAGTTTAATTTATAAAAAACAAATAAATATTTTGTCCACATTAGTTTTTTTCAAATTGAATGAAACATAAAAAATATTTTAATGAAGATTGTTAAAATACTGATGCAAGTATAATCAAATCTAGATGCATTGATTACATTTAAAAATGGACATAAAAAAAAAATTGTGAACATTTATTTTTGGTTTTATGGTCCTATACTTATCTAAATAGTAAATAGTCAATAAAAATATTACAAAGTAATGAGTTATAAGTTTTAACCACGGCTTTAGATAGAATCTATATATATATATATAGATAGATTCTATCTAAAGCCGTGGTTTTAACTAATGTCTGATAATAATAAATAAGATTTTTACCTCATAATACTTATTTCTATCCTGGTATATATCAAAACTACGGCTATTAAGAAGTGTTTTTTTCACAGGCATTTTCAATTTTGATGATTACAGGTGTAGTGCCTACAAAAAAATTCATTCATTAAATTTATATAATAAATAAACAAATCAATATATGAATATACTGTATTATTTTAAATAAAAATACAATAGTAAAATTGATTAATATTATTAAGTATATTATTAGGTAAGTCTAAAAATTATTAAGTTAAAATAATTTTAATTTTTCGGCAGGCTTTTATGTATTTTTCAGGAAACCTGGACAACTTCTATTACATTCTAGCTTTGCAAGTTTCAATTTCTAGTCACATTTTAATATGTCCTACTTAAGATTATGTGTTATGTTGATAGCAGTTCATAAAAATGTTTAAATCTCCCATAATTCCAAATCTTTATTTGGTATAGACAAATCATTCAAACTTATCAATCCCCCGATGGTTCTAATATTTTACAAACTTAAATTCTATCCTTACTTCTACCTAATCTAATAATTTAGTAAAATGTTCCCATGCAGAGGACAATAATCAATACAAGTGATACAATATGTAATAAAAAAGGTTAAAAATTGTGTTATATTATATTATACACATATAACTATTACCTACATTACTGCCAGAATGAAAATACCTACTTAAAATTAAAATTAAAAGCTGACAAGTGTATGTACGGTGTTGTACCTTAGTAATCATTGAGATCACTGTAATAGATGTAATAGAAATACTTAAATTTGAATTCAATGATAAATCTTAGTTTAATATGAAAAATGGTTTTAAGCGAAGACAGTCTTAACTTTTAGGTAACCGAGGTTACAAAACGATTATTATAATAATAATATTAACATTTTTAAAAAATTGTCTTTATTTTTTAAAGTACTGGGAGTTTTTAACTTTTGACCCCATAAAGTACAAACTATTCAATTCGCTACCAGAAACTCTCAAAGTTGAAAATAGAAGCATTTTTTTTTGCAACATAAAGTGCCTTTAGACACATATTGTACAATCAATATAACATAATACATTATTATATATTATAATATATTTATAAATTATAAAATATATATATATATACCCGGTAATCTATTTAAGAGTCTACACTCATTATTTCGAAAAGTTTTAACTTTTTGAATATATTATTTTTACATACCTAATCAGATGTCAAAACATTTATTTCAAAACACTTATGAAAAAAATATATTTTTACTGTTATTTGTCGTTATAATTTTTTACTTTTTAAATGACATCATACATTTTTAATTTTATATTCCAAAGCAGAATATTATTCGGAGTACCTATTTCAATCTACCTATAAAGATCAATTTCGGACAAGAATTTCAGTAATAACTCTTATAAGCATTTGAATCAGTCGTTTGAGAAACCCTACTTGTCCAAAAATATGGAAGCACGTTTTATTGCAGGTTTGGAATTTTCAAATGTATAGATCTACTTATAATGTAATATTTTAGGATTTTTATATTTGTATATCCAGACTTGTCCATTTTTTTAAATAGTTTTTAATAGCGGTACAAATTTTAGAATCAAGATAAACCCTACTAATAAGAAAAGTTATTTTAATTTTTCCAAAACTTTGGGTTTTGGGACTAATTCGGATTCTCAAAAGACTGATTCTTTTAAAGTTGAGTGTAGTGGTGGACAACATATTGTGGGGTAGTCCTGCTGCACCATCCACCCTACTCCGCTCATCCAACTTAAAAGGATTTTAACTAAGTATAATGAACTGTTTGTATAAAATTTGATCTTTAGAGACTGAAATACTCCGAATAATATTGCTTCGGAAATTCGGAATATGAAATAAAAAATGTATGTTTTATAAAAAAGTAAAAATTTTACAAATATAACGATAAAAAATTATAAAAAATATTTTCAAAAAAAATTTAAAACGTTCGAAATAGTGAGGGTAGTCGGTACACTTAAATAGTTCAATACATCAACCTAAATACATGTAATATATAAACAAACAGATATCCTTGAAAAATTAATGAATATCTATTTAATATCATGAAACATAATGAATATATCTATAATAGTATGCTAATTTTGTAAAACAATACTTTTTAAATATAAACTTCTTCTGATACCTACCTATCTAAAATCAAAAATTTAATTCACAAGAAATAAATCTAAAACCTGAAAACATTATTGTTTTATTTTTGAGTTTCTACAATACCTATTGAATATTGTGATTGTAAATACCACGCCCGTGCCTATAAAACAAATAAATAGTTGCACAGGGAATACCAACTAAAATGTCTTCATAGATATATTACACTACTAATAAATAACAACAGTCAACACGATACATTTTATTATTTTTTCTTGTTCTAAAAAACCACTTAATATATCTGGAGACTGTAACTAAAACAGAAAATACGTTCCCGCACACCAATTAACACGTTCATGATCACTTCACATTTAATATTATTAATTTACCCTCCTCAGAAAATCACTCGCATTTTTAAAATATCAACAAAAATTATTAAAAAATAGAATATTATATTTATCCGTGACCAAACTTATGAGTGATCATCATAGTCACATGTTTAGTTTCGTTTATTTTAATACCATTGGAAATATTACTGCATGAGCAGTAATGACCGATTTTGTGGGTTTGTAAATTACTTTTATAACAGTAGTGACACATTGCATTAAAATTTAGAATTGAAAAAAAATTTAGATTACTGCTATTATAGCAGTAACTGACCACGAACGTGTTAATACCAATACATTGTACATGGATCCCGTATTTACATTTATTATTTATTAACAGCACCAAGTGAAAAAATGATTTAACTTTTCCACACAAAATGTACCTAGTGAAAAATTGAAACAAATACTTACTCGATAATTAGTTTCCTGGTATTCTGGTGGTAATGTATAGCAATAAGTTTAAAAACGAAATACGAAATATTTGAAATGACCCGAAACGACAAATAAACCAATCTTTTTTAAATAATAATGAAATATAATAATTTAAAACGGTCTCTATTTTTCAATAGAGAACAGACTAGAGATCGGACTGAATTAACTGTACAAAATCCTGTTGGTCGACTGATGAATTTACGAGATCACTGCAGAGAAGTAGAGAACTGACAAGTCACTAACAGTCACTATCGGTCTATATTATATAATAATGTGATTATTATTTTACTAACGACCGAAATTTCCCGATAATTATAGTTATTGAAGACGATAAAAAAACATGCCATAGACGGCACTTGCCAGGTCGGTACATATTTCACAAAGCCGTCGTCGGCGGCTGGTGGACAAACCGATCTATTTATTGACAAATTATTAATAATATAATAATGTTTTCACAATAATATTGTCGTTTAAATGTTTAATCGTAATTCGTAGCCCGAAGGTTGCACTTTGCAAACTGTCATAGTATGCACTACAACACTGTTCAATGCTAATTCTTCCGACTTCTCTACATCGTGATTGCAATGACCTTAAATTTTTTGTACCAAAATGTTTTGGGGGAAAAGAATTTTCTACGGGTACATGGAACAATTTTCAAAATATTTTGAGCAATTTAAAGACATTTGGAAGTTTTCGATTTGTTCTACATAAATGTCGATAAAAATTATTCGATTGGTCAAAAAGCTTGAAAATTTGAGCTTAAAACTGTAATACGACAATAATTTTTTACGATCGTCTGAAGTTTAAATGTTTACAAAATTGAATATTTATGACTGTGAGATAATTTTCATCGAACGGTTTTAGTCTTTTTTCTTGTAAGTCAAAAAATATTACTCGCAGTTATTGTGGAAACTTATGTTTATTATTATGTGTAATATTGCCTATTTATACCTTGAAGTTCGAATATTTCGAACCTATTCACACAGTTACCTAGTTCTACCTAGTTCTACGGTAAGCCGATTCTTGGTACCGATGGTCGCTACGCAATATTTGTGAAGGGTCGTGGCTAATGAAATTGACAACTTTAATTCGTACATAACTACATAAGTACATGATTGGCTGCATACGAATTGCATGCCAAAAAAAAAAAAATGTCCAAATTGCATGCCGTCTCTTGTAGCCTGTAGGGCCGTAGGGGTCTGTCCAAATTGCATGCCATCTCTTGGAGGGGTCTGTCCGAATTGCATGCCATCTCTTAGAGGGCTTTGTCCGGATTGCATGCGGTACACCACACGTTTATTTACTATGCACTTAAACAACTTAAACTTTTTTTTGGACTTTCCTAATTTTTTTTAAAAAATTCATGTATAGAAACGCTCTTTTATGTATGGTTGTTACAACTGTTTAGTGATTAGTTTCTGGATTGAAATATTTTTATATCCGTGTAAATATTTTCCCAAACAGTATCTATATTGGAGTAATGTAGTGTATTGTGGTCTCGGTCTGTTTCACAACAGATTAATAATATTTTATTATTATGAATTATTATTATATATTATTTTGTTTATTTAAATAATTGTAATATTGTATGCCCGAAATGTCAAAAAAAACCACCAAATTTAAAAAATATAATATTATTTAAAATACACTCACTTGTTTACCCTAAACTACAATAGTTTTATTTAACTAATGGCCTATGTTGTCGATGAAAAAAAATAGTTTTATTTTATGATTCTTATTCACAGTGTCACCTTCTACAATATTTATATGTTTTATTGTAATGTAACAAAATCCCGATCCTCCAGTTGAAAAGTAAGTTATTTATTCGGATATACCCCTCTAAGAGATGGCATGCAATTCGGACAGGACCCTCCAAGAGACGGCATGCAATTCGGACGACCCGATTTATATTTATTTTTTTGGCATGCAATTTGGATGCACCGACATGATTACATCCTGAAAAAAAATGTTTATTTGAAGAATTATTACCCTAACTTACAAATGATGTTTGAGCATATTTTTTTGAAAGTAGATAGAAATTAATAATGCAAAAACATACATTTAGAAAAAAAAAATTACAAAAAACTAAACTAAACTAGAAATGTTCCGGAGATAACGGTGACCGTCCGCCAACACCGGCGACCCCGTTTGCTATCCGAGTCCCAGGGAAATGGGAATATACGTAAACAGTAAATACGTTTATTTACTATTTAGAAAACAATAAATTATAAATACGCTGTAGCACAATACGATATTCATTAAAAATGTATTTAAAATATGCTGGTGGTGGAGTGAACACACGAAAAAGTTCATTCCATTGAGCTTAAAGTAGAACATATTTTTCCTCCGAGGACTATTTAATTTAATTAAATTAATTTTTTTTATTGTCAACGTGATGACTAAAATATGGTAAAATTCTCAAGGGGTCGTTACGACCCCTTCACCCCCTCCAATCATTCCACCGACCAAATAGAACTTACTGGCTAACATACAAAAAAATTTGAAAAGTATTTGGAATAAATACTCGAATATTTATGAAAAATAGTATTCATTATTTAGAATATGTATTTGGATACTTCAAAAAAATAGTATTCCGAATAAAGTATTTCAAATATTTTAAAAATACTTTTTAGCTTTTGTTTTAAATATTAAACCAATTATACTTTTTATCAAAAATTTTTAAATTAGCGCCAACATTTATAATTTTAAAATGTGATTAATATTGTTAAAATTCTAGAAAAAGAAGAATATTAAACTTATTATATAATTTTCAATACAAATTTTTAACAAAAAAATCACAATTTTAAAAGTTTATAAATTACTTCAAAATTTAAATAGGTATCAAAAAAATACAAGTTGTCTTAAATCAGTGATGTGTCATCTGTGGGTTGTGAAACTTTAATAGGGGTTATTAACCAATAATTTAACACTTAATTATAATGTTACATATTATTATACGATAATGCGTTACTTAACAATTATGCACCTAGAATGAACATTCAACTCTGCACTTTAAAAATAATAAACAAGCACAAATACGGGTACATTTTTTGTTGATAATATAAACAATAGACTAAATGAAAATTTAAAGAATAAACACCAGAGACATTTTTGTTTGCAAGGTTTGAGGTATATAATTTTTTTAAATAACGTTGAGTTCTATCACTGGATGGCCTCCCTCCTTATGTGTTCAGGTTGTAAAAAATTTTTTTAGGAGTTTGTGTGTTTCTTTGGAATTTGTACTACACCTAAAGTTTGGTTTGATTTTTCGAATTTCAAACAGTTCAACCTGCCTCTAGAAATAATATTATAAGAAACGTATCTATTATTAATATAATATTAATAATTATCCAGTTTTACATAAAAATTAGTTTTTTGCAGTAAAATAAAACAACAGAAATAACTAGTACCAGTTACGTTGTGTTTTTAACAAATTAGATTAGTTTATTTTATATATTGAATTAAATTTGTTAAATTAGAATGTTATTATGAAACCAACTAATAAAGTCACAAAGTTTCATTCCAATTATTTAGAGCCCAGCTTGCCTTACATTTTGATAATAGGTCAATTTACTGCATACATATTAAAACTATTGAAGCTGAGCATACATTTGCTATGTTACAAACTTTTAAGATGGATACAAAAAGTTCAAGTAAAACTACTAATTAAAGCATATTAACCAGACTTTTTTCAAAATTTAATATGAAAACTGTAGCATATATTATAAAATTATGTTAAAAATTGTACCTATATCTTATATCATTATACCACATATAACTAGTAAACATTTTTATAAGATTGAAATTTGTATTAAAACTAAATATTTTCAAACATGTTAGTAGAATCTGCTGTTAGTAGTACAGCAGTTATTAATAATAATAATAATATTGTTTGTCATAATAATGTATTTATAAAATGTAATACTGATTAAATATTTTTCGTTTCTGCAAATAAATTAAATACAATCCGTTAAATCTGTATACTTTTATAATTTATTTCAATATTATTATAAGTGAATTATAAGGTTTTTATAAGTATTAGGTTTTTACTAAGTTTTTTTCAAAAGTATTTTTCTGTTTTTAATATAATTAACAATTATTAATGGTTGAACTGTGTAAATATTACACAATATTTGAGTAAAATGTATTTATTTCAAAATTATTTGAACACATTTATGTTATATAGTATATTTAAATTGAAATGAGCCTTTAGGACCTTTTAAAAAACCTTAAAAGAGAAGTTGATATTATGTTTACAATTTATGTCTTTATAATATTAACGTCTTTGGTTCCATGATCCTGCTGCTGGAGGACCGCCGCGTCCCATGGGTGGTCCTCCACGACCCATAGGAGGACCGCCACGTCCCCTACCTCGTCCAACTAAAATATAAGAATAATAATTAAAATTGACTATATAAGTTATATTATTAAATCCTCAACAAAAATAAAATAATCAATATATACCCGATGACCGTATCATTCCACTCTTCCCACGTCCTGCTGCTCCGCCCATAGTCATTTTACTTTTAAACATAGGAGCATTCCGCAGCATGTCAGGTAGTATAATGAAACGCACTTTTGATCCTCTCACATACACATTCTCCATCTGGGCAACACGTCCATCTCTATACGTAACTGTCACATGCGATACCTGTTCAACATTACATTTTTTTTTATTCTTCACTAGTAAGAAATTAAATGTTTAAAAGATCAATATTCCAATTATTATTTTTAATATAATACCTGACAATTCATGTTGTCTTCAGCTTCAATGAGCTTACCGCGATAAACTTCGCCATCAATCGTTTCGCATGTGACGATATGCCCCTCCGCTTCGTGCAACACTTTGATTGGAACACCGATAGACATTACGAAGTGGATTTTACAAAAATTAGTAATTAATATATATAATATAATAATTAATATTTTGGAAATAGCCGCTAGTGTTGTCTGTTAAGTGTTAACTGTTGTTTGTTTCAATGTTTCAGCGTCCGACGCGTATCTATCTACTTTCGCGTCCTATGCTGTGATTGGTAAGAATATTGATAAACGACGGACTAAAATAATCGAATGGACTGGCATGGCATCGAGTGAGATCTCGGCGGCCGGCAAATCTTCCAAAAACATATTATTCCGTGATAGTGGAATTAACCTCAAAACAATTTATTATCAAAATGTTATACAGTTTAGCCATATTCACGATTAAAGATATATTTATATACGGTCACATAATATCTCTTGTAACCCGCGAATATTTAAAACAGAAAAAAATTGTCGAAAAAAAAAAAAGTTTCAGTGTGCCACACACTTACACGAAGTACCTGACAACGTCTTATTCCATGTTCACTAGCTGTATAAATGTATAATCAGTGGTTTTCCCTGGTTAGGACGAGTATAATTGGTAATTACTCACAATTTACTACTTACCTACTATTGTATAAAATCTTTACAAGAATTCTATGTACTATTTAGTCCATTGGTCGTTATATAATGTAGCCTATATAGGTGTATATTTTATACAAACGAGTAATTGTCTGACGAGTGATGACTGACGATTGTCTATAACTTAATTAGAATAAATAATTTATGCGTTTTAATGGTATAACAATTTAAAAGTTTTGAACGTGTAAGGTACCACATATATAAAAGCTTACCGAGGCCCATTATTTAATATTTGCCGGCCCCGGTGGCCCCAAAGAAAGTCCAGAGGCAGCATATTATGCTGCCTCTGCTGCCCCGTGCGCACGCCTATGAATAGAAGATAATAGATAGGGACGATAGGGTGTTCTTCGTTTAAAGAATGAACGTTACAACCACATAATGTACACAAATAAATTAAAATTTTAAAAATAATTAAAAAAATAAGCGCACCGGTGCGGTTTTTTTACACTGGTTTGAACGAACGAAGTTCTATTTTCAATACGTTATTTATAATTATAATTTTTAGCAGTGGTTGTCAAGATAGGAGTACGCGGGAGGAAGGATGACGGGCGTATTTGGGCACCCTCCGACATTTTGTAATTGGTTCCCTAAAATTTAGGTTCCAGAGCATGGGGCCCATATTTTAATCAATTATATCAATTTAAATTTATGTTACTATAAAGAGTGAAATGTATTTATTTTTTTAAATATGTGGTAAAAAATAAATCATGTTTCATGGTAATAAAATAATAAAACGTACCTACAATATTATTAATTTGTGTGACATATAAGTTATTATGATTTATGATTATACATTTCTAACAGCTATACTCCGTTCGACGAGAGAACGAATTCGTTATGCCATGTTAATTACGGCGTTTAACGACCTGTACAGCGGGTCACTATTTTCCTTATTCAAACACAGTTTGTGCTTTTTAGTTGTAAACTGTAGTGCTATACAACGTTGCCCCCCGGAATGTTTTAGAGAAGGAAATAGTGCCCCAATTACATCACGAAACGAGTTCCTTTCCTCGTGGATCGGAGTATAGATGTCATTAACTACAAATGTACAGATAATAAATAAACATTGCAATTATTGTCTTAGAAATAGATATTAGATCCAAGGAAATATATAACTTGGTAGCTGGTGCCTGGTACAGTGGTACTAGTAATTATATAGGTAATAGGTACCACTGATTTATATATATATGACGTCGGAGAGATGGTCCAAAAATATTGTAAGCAACCCCCGAAAGTTCAGGGCTGTGCAGTAAGCATAGCCACAATTTCAACTTTTGGCTTGGGGGGGGGGGGGGGTTGCTGAGTATTATATTAAAGACAAATAGACCATTGCAATATAGCATATTAAAATTGTATGTCCTAGGTTTTTGGGGGGACTACGGCTATTAGCAACTCCCAATTTGCGCCTATGTGCCTATGTAAGCCTATTGCAGTATTGCCTATGGTTTTGAGGGTCGTCCGCAAGGACATTTTGGTGTCTGTAGCAAATATGAAATAGATGTAAACAATTTATAAAATCACATAAAAAATAAAATAAAAATTCAATTGATGAACTTTTGGATATATTTATATTTTATAAATGTATTATTTATTTACCGATTAATCATTACAGTTAACATAATATTGTAAAAATGGAATATTCTATTTTATATTTATCAATAACATAACTAAAAACATAATCATAAATATAATAAAAAAAATAAGATACATTATTGCTTACAATTGAACTTAACTTAATAACATTACCAAATGAAATTGACATAGTTAATTGACATAATACAATACAATAATTGACATAGTTTAGTTAGTGGACGTTTCAATGTATATAGATTCAGGTTACAATCATTTAGCTATAAAAAAAATAGAAATATTTCTCTTAAACAATAACAAAATCAGATTCTATAGGAAGACATTAATTATAATTAACAGTATCATATAACATTATTTATCTCATTAGTTATTGCTTCTTAACTAAAGTTCTCAATATATTTAATTAAGTTTATGTAAACACAATGTTTTTAATAAATGCTTGTATTAAAAAAATACCCATAATAGTATTAATAACAACAGTGTATAAACTACACACACCTAAATTATGACTTGGCGGATAACTGAGTTCACTTTAAACACTAAATAGTTAAGTATAAATTTTAACAAATTGACGTACTGGAATACAATCATTATAACAAAGCGATAGATATCAGTGTCTATTTTCAAATTCTATCATCTATGATAACAATTTTAGTTAACCATTAATTTTAATATAATCGATATATTAACTTCGAAACAATTAATTATGCTATGATTGTAGACATCGAACTTTTTATGGCGTCTCTAGCGTAAGGTATATAAGACAAAGAGTACCATGTCAATGCAAGAAATTGAAAAATAATGCAAAGAAAAGTTAATGGTGCGTTTTTCATCTGAAATTATAAAAATACAAGATTACTGTAGCTATTAATTCAACTAAAAATTCTGATTTTTAACTTACGCCAACTGCAGCGACTAATGTAAGGACAATCATTGCAAGAGCAATAATGGTTGCAACAACTCTAGAAGAGGAAAACATTTTTTTGATTTGTTTTACCGGACCCATCAAAAAACAAGTACTGAAAATTAATTAAATACATGTGTATAAAATTATAATATATTTTTATTTTATTTTATTGTTTTGTACCTAAGAAGCGATGTAATATTTCCAAGTGTATAAAAAATACCGAATACGGCCATTCTTCTATGTAGAGGTAATACTAACGCTGTGGCACCCAATAATGAAAAAAAAATTCCGATTACAAAGCATGCAATAAATCCTTTTATACGAGTAGACCATTCTAATGATGACATTTGATTAACATTCTGCAAGCACATATAATATTACCATTCAAGTTAGTTATCTAAAAATGTGTCATATATTAGGGTTAAAGGTTGTTGAATAAAAATAATGGTAAATAAATATACTATAAATTAATAATTATTTAAAAAGCAATACATTTTTAATTATTAAAAAATATTTTTTAATCATAACATCAATTATTAAATTGAAACTATAGATAGGACTGAAATCTAATAGTATCTGAATTATACAAACACATAAATCCAAATTAACAAATGATTGTACTTAATTAAATAATTGAATTATTCTAAATAAATAGTAACTAATAGATAATAATAATTAATAAGTAACATTAATTTATAGTTTCAATAATGGAATTTTTAGATTCTAGATACTTCTATCCCTATTTGAGTTGGAATACAATTATCCACATATTTCTTAAAATAAATAATCAATAATGTACGAAATACTAGTGTTAGATGTGTAATACTAATATACAAGGTACATTTTGAAACGTAAGACACTCATTATTTTGAAAACAATCAACACTATAATATAGCCTATAGGAGTAATAAATCTGAAGAATGATGGTTCAGTATACCACTCATATAAACTTAAAATACTTTAACTAATTAACTACTCATTCAAAATATGTTTAATCATACAATTACTTTAAATAATATTCTTATTTGGAATTTTAAATTAAAAATGTAGTATTCAAATAGTAAATAATTTAAAAAAAATGAAAATGATTATGATATGACTTAATTTTATATAATAAAAGCATTAAGAAACAATCATTCTGTATTCAAATGTATTCAATGTAGATGAGATAGAATTTAACATAGGCATTAACACGATCCCATAGTTAGTTTTAGAAAAATGTATTATACAGAATGTTTCAAACTTAAGCTTAATAATAACTATGCATGTGTGAAGTGACTATACTAGCTCCCTGTATCAAAATTATACAGTTATTTTATGGAATATGGACAATATAGCTAATATAGATAAGCATTGTGTAATTTGATTATATAAATGTTGTCCACCTGAAATTTGATCTATAAGTCAATTTTTTACAACTTGCTCCAATACCCATTAAACATAGAGATAACTGATGTTTATAACTGGCTTATAAACTAATGTTCTTGTCCAACATTCCTCTTCCAACCAAAATATGGCAAATACTATAATCACTATCAAAAGTAAATTGTAAATTGTGAAGAAACTGTTGAACATATTAACCATGGTAATATAATTTTGACTGTAATCAATTAACACAACATAATAATATTAATAATCTCAATAAACTTAATATTTACTTACAGGCAAAATCCCAGTGGAACTATCATTGTCTCGGTCTTGGCCACTCAATGCTTTCCGTAACATGTCCATATTGAAATGTTGTCTATAAAACAAAACAATTTTTATGATAGTCTCATAGGGCAGAAACTTTTTAATAGTTTTTCGAAATGTAGGCGCAAATCTTGTAACGAAAAACCATTTAAGAAATACTCTGCCTTGTAAAATGGTTTATAGGACACGATTAAATTAAGTAGAAACTTAACCTACACAACCGAAGACAGATAAAATTATAAAAATAATAATAATATTAAATTTAACCTGAAGCAGTAGTAGTTGTAGTAGTAGTTTAAGCTTTAAACGTATAATAATATACAATCGAGAGTGTTGGCGACGTTACCGTGTATGGTTTTTATTTGATTTTGGAATTGTTAAAATATAAAAATTGTACGGCAAGAAAATAGAAAAACAATCGTTTTTCGTTGTGGAAAAATCAAAAATGTTGATAAACTCCGATAAGAGATAAGACCGTGCGCCACACACTCAGCGCGCGCAACTTGTCGTGTCGGAAAACATCGACGGGGCGACGCGATTTCGATCACGGCCTATGCGGCGGCACCAGTCTGTGAGTGCGGCACACTCCCTCTTTTGCGTAATCGTCACCCCACCGCCGCGCGGCACCGGACGTCTTCATCGTCTGCAGTCGATCTGTCTGCGCCGATTTGTATTTACTATATTCATTAATTATTTGGTACCTTATCCCTATTACAGTCAGTGGTTTAGACGTTTAGTACGGTAGTAGCCGTCGAATCGAGTCGTCCGCCGTTCAGGACTTGTCGGTCGTGTGTGTGTGTCGTCTCCCAACACTCGCTCGTCGGGATAAATAGACGAAAATAGACGTGCGCGATCGATTATTATAATATGCAGTGTGGCGGACGATCCGAAATGTGTCGGATACATCGAAATTAACTTGCGTTTAGACCTTGAACGGTTGTGCGTATTGTTATATTGTTATCATCGCACAAATAATTCGATTAAACCCGTCGCAAATAATAATAACTACATATTTACTCGGTCGTGCCATACATAATATAATAGGTACTTATTATAATATTTCGTAGCATAAAAAAAAAATATAAATATTATACTGTATAGAGTATTAATGCAGAATTCTGCGACCGTGTGCAATCTATTCAGTACTTGGTTGGTCCTAATCATTTGATTTCAGTACCTATACACTATTTATAAAATTCACCAGAGCCGTTTTTATAATTATTACGAATCTCTTCCTATTACTGTTGTTGATATAAATCGATTAATGTTTTTTTTTTTTTTTAATAATTTTTTTTTTTTGTAGTTTGAACGATTCTTTGGATATTTATGGGATGTAATTCGAGCAAAAGTACGTCTAAAGCTGTACACAAAAAAAAGTTACTACCCATCATGAGCTTCCTACCGTCCAGCAATGTAAGAGTAATAATATACTATTTTTCGTTTTCACGTCTCTTAAGGCGTTCATAAAAGAGACGAACAATAACTCTGTTTAAGTTACAAATTTACAATGTGGTTGAAAGTTTTAAAATTCATTCCATAAGTTTGATACGAAAACGTAATACATATGTATAATACATTAATACAATATAATGTAGGTAGGGTACCTTATAATAACTGCCAACTTGTGTTAATATATTAATTTAAATTATATATGATTTTGGTATTATAAACAATTCATATTTTCCAAAGTTATACAAAATATAAAATTATTTCATTAGGTACATAATATATATTTATGGATACATTTTTGCCATTTTTATTAAATCTCACAATATAAAATATTATTCTATTGGTATTTAAAATTATTTCCTGTTAATTTTATTGTATCATCATTACACGTTACAAGTTACAACATTATATATTTTGTAATCGTTTGAGTTATTATAATTTATAACCATTGTTATAAAGCATGTTTATGTGAATACAAAACAATACACTCATTTAAGCATACTAATATAATATCAGTTGGTATGGGTTTCATTATCCTTTGTGAATGAATCATTGAAATTCTAGTATAATATTCAGTTTTATCTTTTTAACTAACATTTCACAGATTACACTTCAAGGTTTTTGTTCTGGAGACATGTGTCAACTTGATAAACAATAGAAAGTGAAGAAAACAACGTAATAATATAATAGAAGAGTTTATTCTTTTCTATAAAAAAATTTCCTTGGTGACTTTCATATTTTCAAGTGTTTATTAAAGCAATAAAGCCAAATAAGTTAAATTACAGGTACATCAACAAAACCAAATAAATATTGCAACTAATCCGTTATGGCATTATCTAATATTATGCTAATCAGCTATGTACTATGTTTATATTTTATTAGTACTAACATTCCACAGTTAACAATATTACAAAAAAAAAAACGAGAAGTTATATATCATAATTCATAAGTTTTGTTTCCGTTGATACTGAAATATTTTCATTTTTTGTTGTCGGGGGAAACAGAAACAGAAAAACAAATAATGATGACACATCATCCTTTTTCCGAGATCATTTCCACCCTCCTCAGCGTGGTTAGTACTCGGTATTGATCCAATCTACTGAGCATGTCCAGTAGTTGCATGCATATACCACCTTACCAACCCCACGGGCTTTCATAATAGGTATTCGATTGCAGTGGATGTATATTTTCGCGTTGTTTCTATACTTTTTATTTCTAATGTGCATGCATAATTTATTGCTAAATGACTCATTACATTTAAAAATCAAATGATTGCATTTAATCCAAAAAAAACGTTCTAAATAAAATAAATATAACAACAGTTTAATACGATATTTCGGTTGATAATATTAAACAGAGTGTGCTGCAGTATTTTATAAACGAGCACATTGTAAAATCACACGTTAAAATAAGACAAATGAATCATATTAATGTGTGATAGTTTATTTAATATAACTTATCGAGCAATAAATCAATTATTGTTGACAGCTTTGACATTGATTTTTTCGTATATTATTGTGTTAAAATTCCCTATAAATAGCACTGCATACTAAATACATGTTAAGGTGATATTGTTAAACCATGTTGCATAATATTATGTACATATCAGATTTGCATTAGACAAGACACTTCAAGAAACTCTTTAACTCTGCAAAATAATGGTAATATTATTAAATCTAAATAGGAATTTTTTTTAAATGTGCAATAGATTATGATTTATTAATAAGTAGTTAATACATGAATAAGTATCATACCGTGTTTGTTTTCGTATATTTCCGTCTATTATATATATATATATATATATATATATCTAGGATTGGGGCAACTAATTCTGGGGAATACTATAGTCCAAAAAAAAATTAATACTGTAGTGTAATTTAGTAATGTATTAATAAATGGTATATTTTACAAAACAAAATTAACCAAAGTAGCTTTTAAAATTATAAACATTTAGGGAAAATTAATGCCTTTAGTAATATCAGTGAGTACATTATACTACAGTCAAATGACTAAACTTTTTTTGTTTTCTTTCTCTGACCCATGCACAATTTGGGGAATTTACATTAAATTAATCTTGTGTTGTTAGTTTTAATGTTTGAGTGAATATACCTAATATTAAACTTTAAGTTACGAACATGTCATTGTCTTTCGTTGTATGTTGGCTTTTTTACGATATAATATGTAGCGATGAATGAACTTTTTAAATTGTAATATTTCATATACCTACTTATAACTTGCATACAAATTTAAATATCTAAAAAAATCCAACTCATAATTATAGATAATGTTCTTAACTTTAAGTTTGCTGATTGGTCAATTCACTCTAATATTAAAGCAAACAACACAATATTGGTTCTATTGGACCCAAATTTGCGCGTTGGTCAGAGAGAAAACTAATGCTGACATCATCTTAGGAAAATGCCACACCCGCATGCAGTGTGCCAGTGTCTCAGTCTTGCAATTAATGTATGACGTATTAACGCATCAAATTTATGATCAGCAGTTCCTACTTTGTAGTATAAATTTTAATAATAAAGAGAATACTTGACCTATTATCAAATTTTAAAGTAAGTATATTTTCTATGCCTTCTCATGATATTTTAATGTTTAATCGAGTTATTAGTAGTTATGTAAAATGTTGCAATTGAAAACAATTATTATAATTTGCTTAAGAATTAAAATATTTTAAAAAACCAATGAGAAGGCAGATAATGTTCTTACATTTAAGTTTGAACATAGGTAAATTCATTGTATTATTATTACCTTATCTCGCGAAAATACAAAATTGGAGTTGCTGAACACAAATTTGCCATGTTTGATTTTTTTTAAATATTTTCTTACGTACATTTTAGGCTATCTCAAATTTTCAAATAGTACGAAATCTAACATAATTTTTTTTTTATAATTATACTATTTAGTTCTACAATACAGTGAAGTTTTATGAAAATATTAATAAGTAACTAATAAGAAAAAAGTTATTGAACAAGATAAATAATATATTGTGGTTAGTAGTGATTTTTAAGTTATACAGTAATTGTCACTTTGAAAATGTTCATGTAACTATCGATACTTTTTTCTGTCCTATGTAGTTATAATACCTCGTGTGCTCAAAAATAGTGTACACTGTATTATTAAATTACCCGTAGCCTACTTAGCACCCATACATAATTTTGAATTCTGTTTGCGGGACATAAAACTAGACTATTAAATTATCAATCTCCCGCAGACAGAATTCTAAAATATGTATAGGGAACTGAGTAATGTACCATTGTAGGTAACTAACAGTTTATAGTGTACCCGCAGTTTTCGCAGATGTACGGTATAGGTACGTACACGTATATTAATCGTGATTCGTGATAATTAAATTATGTGATTTTTAAACAAAAAATCTTTATTTCACAATTCATTCAAAAATCTAATGACTGTTCTTCAATTTCGAAATGGGCCATAACTGAATAGATTTATTATAATTGACAATTTACAACAAATAATTTATTGTATTAAATACAATATTATTATGTAACTATTATCAATTTATTTTTACAATATTAATATTAAAACATTATTGCATTGCAAAGTTTATTATCTTGTGATTTGTCATATTATGATCCAAAATCAGATCATAGGTCCAGTAGCCGATAATTTACAGAGCCGGCAAGTTTACCGAGCGTTCAAGCAACACCTAATTTTATTTACAGATCCGTTAACGCACTTACCGATCTGTAAGTCGTTACAGAACATTTATACAACCTGGCCTTTGTGACTATATATCATAATATAGTATATTTATAATAAATTGTATCTATAAATATTAAATATAATCATTGGAATATTGCACTATAGTAATTTAATTAACAGTTAATAATATATGATTATGTGTGGACGTATAATACACTAATACGTATTGTTATTGGATTAGTGACGTGATATAAATATAAAAAACCGATAAAAATTAAAAAGGTGTTTTAAGTGGATGTCGTTCTGCTGTACAGTAGGTTACAAGTGGGACATTGTATAATGGATGGTATTAAATTTGAATTCTATGGTAAAATATCATTGTATACGAAAAACGATTCTGACCGGAGACGGTTTGTCAGCGTGGCTTGGCTATTTCATATTATATTTATATTGTTATTATTTATTATTAATACGATAGCCGGTATAAATTTAATCAATATTATACGTAAAATCACAACAAAATAACTAAAATCTTTATTCTTGGTTATTTAATATGTAATTTCGTCCAAATTTGAACATAATTTAACCACAAAAAAACGGATTTAATATTTTTGAGGTTTTATGGTTACAGATAAACTTATACTTACGTGACATCTTCTTTAAAATTTTCAATATTTAACCATAAAAGTTTAACATTATTAAAAATGTTAACTACAAAATCATTTTTAAATTAAAAAAATCGATAAATGTTTTCAAAAATCGAACTCTAAATGTTTATAAAAAAAAAATTGTGCCCATGTATTTTTAATATTTTTCAACTACTATAATTGTAACAATAATAGGTATATTAGGAACCTTGTATTAACGTTTCACGTTTTTTAACCCAACAAATAAAATTTTGTTGACATATTTTATAGAAAATTTAAAATGTCCGTAAACAGTTCGAAAACAGTCAAAATATTTTGAACATTTTATCAAGTATAAGAATTGATAAAATAAACATATGATATAAATTTCAAGTGTCTACGAATATTCGTTTTTGAATTACAACAAAATAAGAAAATTGCTACTTGATAAATCGAGTGAATATCCAATACTGTAAAAATTTAAATTTTAAACGCTCATAAAAATTTAATTTGACTGACATTTTTTTTTTTTGTATAATGGTAGACAAACTTATAAGGAATCTTGTATTTAAATGTATTCTATTTTAAAATCTTAGATTTAAAATGAAAAAATTTCAAATTCAAAATAATTTTGCACATTTTCGTAATTTTTACGCCTTTTGTTAAAATTCAAATTTGATGCTCATAAAAAAAATGTATAATTTATGTTTATGTATTTTTAATATTTTTCAACTGTCTTTGTAACAATATATTACTATATTAGGAACATTGTCTTAAATTTTCAAGCTTTTTGTACCAACGAATACAATTGTAATGAATAATGATATTTATAGAAAAAAAAAACATAAACAAATTGGAAACTGAATATCTCCTTAAACAGCTCAAAACAAGTCAACATATTTTGATTTTATCTTGTATAGAAAATGCTTATATAAACATTCACTAATAATGTCATGTATTTAGGGTCATTTGTTTTCTGAGTTACACTATTTTGTCGAAAATTTCTCGTTTTTCCTTAATTTTTATTTTGTTTTTCCCTGCACTTTTGAAAATATTGGGAATTTTAAATTTTAACCTACCGAATGCAGCAACTAGATTCACTTTCCAATCGAACAAGATACTGTTGAAGATAATCCAAGCATTTTTACTACCTCAGACGGCATAGGCGCAATTTCAACTTTTGACTTGGGGGGGGGGGGCTGAATATATTAAAGGCAAGCAGACCATTGCAGTATAGCAAATTGTATGTCCTAGGGAGAAGCTTAGAACCTCAAGCCTCCCCACAATTTGTGCCTATGCCAGACGGTGATGATGGAAACATCATCATCATTGTAAAATCATTGGTCCGGTTAGAATCTAAAATGATTTCGTCATTTTGTCAATATAATATTACTTTTGTTATTGTGAGTTGCGAGTTGCGACCATTACTTTCTAGGTTGGTTTTTTTTTATTGGGTTCGTGATGTTAGGTGCTTAGGTTTCTATATATAGTATTACAATAATCGGTCGGAACAGTGATTCCGGTATTTGGCAATTTTGTTTCGTTCGCAACGCTTGTAATTAATTTATACGGAAATTTTGTTATGAGAAAACCATTTTAGCGGTCTATTGACCATACACCGTGTATTATCGATTTGAATGTGAAAATTGTTTGTATATCTGTCATTTTAATTTCGTATCTTGGTTAAAACATAATTTATTCTTCTAGGTTTTTTAAAGAATAAAGGTTCATCGAGCATATATTCTTAGTTAATATGCTTAGTAGATTTTTGAGCGGTTTTGAAGAAGTTTTAATTTTATAGAATAAAATCTATACTGAGAATTATATTAATAACTATTAACTTATGTGATATATTTTATTATATTTATGAAAGTTACATAAGCTCGAATAGCCGAATGTACTGTTTGTATTATTTCTATAGCCTACAGGTGCATTTAGGTACTAAATAAATAAAAATTCGCACAGCTGGTATATGTAATAACTAATAACTAATAAGACGTAATACGTATAAAACATGGATCGACGGATAGCTAAACATCGTAAACAAATTCATCGTTTTTAAATATTCGAACCTACTAGGTTTTTTTGATGTAATAGAGAGGTTAACATCTCCCAATTGCCAAAATGATACAAATTCACAAATTTTTGAGTAACTGTGTTTTTATTAATTTTGCTAACTTTTAAAAATACAATAAAGGTATATACTGACTACTCAGGTAGGGGTAATCCAATACAGAAAATATTATTGTTCTAAGAATAATATTTTCTAAAATAGTTTAGTACCTATTTAAAAAATTATAACTATATTAATTATACATCCCAACAGTTTTAAGTAAAAACTTAACAAATATAGGTACTAATATGTATTTATTTAACAAAAAAAAAATCTTATTATTATTTTTTAAGCCATAAAAACACAATAAAAAAATTTGAACACTTATAAATACTGTGCTTATGTCCTTGATCCTCTTAATTAATACTAGTTTAAATTGCTTTTATAAAATACAGTTTAGGTAAATTGTTATAATGGTATAATAATGTAGTCAAGTTCACCTAGTTACACATACCTTATATATACAATTTACTTCAAACCTAGTTTGTAGTTAATAAATGACAAATATATTTAGTATGCCCTTATTAAATTATTAAAACATAATTGAGGTCATTGACAGTGTCACAGTGACTTGCTAATCTAATTCTCTCTTATGGAATAGGGAACGGGAATGGCCTCATGTTTACAATAACTCATGCCTATAATAATATAATATACACATCCATGACCATATGGTGTTCCAGTGTATTGCATAATACTTCTCACACTTGTATATTATTATACTATCATAAAAGTTGTATAGTTAAATTATTGCCTTGTGCATTTTATTTTAGGCTAATCAATACCAAAAAAAGCAGATACCAGCAACCAAAGGATTAGCATCATCTTTTGGATTCAAAAAGACCACACAAACCAATAAGATCAGACCAATATCAGCTCCTATTCCGTTTGTTGAAAAACCAAACAATTTTGAATCTAAAATGCTACCCAAACGAATGTCAACACCTACGGATAAGTGTTCAAGAAGTATACCTAAAAGTAATACACCTTCTCCCAACAGGTTTGTTACCTTGGTATTGAACTGCTTTTTCTCAGTGACCATTTTTTTTTTTTCATATAGGTTTGGATTCTGTAAACCAGCAACAAAACTTGTTCAACCCACAACACAAGTAACAACAAAAAAAATAGAAGTGGAAAGAAGAAGTCAATCTGAACCACAAAAAAGGGAAATTCCTAAACTTTATTCAAGTGGAACAAAAATTGCCGTGTCCAGAGTTACCTCTAGTCATTTACCTAGGCCTCAAATACCAATCAGATATCAAGTATCCAAAAGTCCCGATAAAAATGCCAAAACAGCTGCCAACATGAGACTAAAGAATGAAGCAATCAAACAAATGCAACAAGGAGTGACCATTCGAAAGTTAACTGACTCTGTTGAATTTACTGAAGTAATTGCTTTTAATAGACCATCAAGGCTAACAATAAATTCAAATGCTAAAGGTTCTTTAATTAGGGAACGGGCTAATAAATATTTAAGGTTAGTACTTACTACTTAATATACTTATATTGTATATGTTTCATTGGAAATTTTTTGTTGATTAGACAAGTGTCAAGTTCATCTTCGAAACATTTGACATCGTCTGATGATGATTCAGATTTGAGCAGTTATGAAGAGAAACATGACAAGTAAATGGTTTTAACACATACATTTTTTGAGGATATCAGTCAACTATTTTTTTTTTCTCTTTGGTTCATGCAGAACATACCAAATTTGCTTCAGCAAAACAAATGTTGTATTATTGGCTTTAAGATTAGACTGAAGTGATCAAATTGATCTATGTGAGAAATCCAACATACATAGATTATTTTTTTTTACTTTAGTTTTATAGTAGATAAATTCAATCAACTATTAAAGCCAACAACACAAGGTTGGTTCTGCTAAACAAAAATTTGTAATGTTTTGCATGGGCCAGAGAGATAAAACAAATAGTGTACTGACATCCTCTTAAATTTACATACGAGTTTACATACTAATTCAGTCAGTGGAGCAGTGAAATAGATCATTCTTTATTTTTATAATTTAAATAGACCCTTTGTAAAATAATTACATGTTTTACTTTAAATTAACAAATCATAACAATATTTACATTAATATTATATAGTATAAATATCATTTTAGTGTTATGTTTGACATTTTTATGGTTGGATTGGCGGGTAGATTATGGTAAGCTATATTGTAGTTTTAACTATCAGGTTTTAGTCTTCAATTTGTGTTTTTAAACTAATTGCATGGGAAGTTTTGAAGAGAGGTGGGAACATTGATGTCTGATGGGGTTTGAAGGAGGTGGGGCACAAATATTCTATCCCATTTCCTGTAAGTCATAATATATTTCATTTCACTGTCTCAATGGTCATTATCAAAAAAAAAAAAAAAATAGCAGAAAATAAAAATTTTAAATATAAAAAATAATATACATTTTAAATCAGTTATATTCTTGAATTTCAAGTAAATTATTTGTGTTTACAAGTGTTTTATTTCCCTAACCATAATGTTATTATAATGATAAGATATGCTACGTTTGGGCTACAATCAAAATCAATATTTTTCATAATCTGAATATGCTTGGCATTTCTAAGTAATTCATGCTGACTAAAAAGTGGAGACTGGGAACTAGTTGATAGTTTTATACTAATGATCGGGGTTTTGGGCATTTTTTGACTGCTGCCCATAGTAGTTTATGTACCTAAACAAATATTAATATTTGTAACAATTATTGATCACTTGGAAAAATCTGCATCCAATAGCATTTTTTTGTTTGCTAATCAAATATATGACAACTGACGTAATAATATTATATTTTAATTTATTAATTATTATAATGCTTCATAAATAATTTTCTTTTATTCAATATTTTGGGCAAGGCACTGGGTTGTATATTTATGTTGTGCATCTTCATTTATGAATGATTATTATGGTAATTAGTAAAAAAATTTCTTTTGTATTTTTTAATAGAGAGGAGTTTGTAAAAGAAAAGACTGAACAATATGATAGAAAAGATACTACATATAGTGATGAAGAATATGGACCTGGTGAAGCATTAGCAGTAGAAGAGTTCACAGAAATGAAAGATAAAATAAATGTCATTGATAATAAATTTGGTATTTGCATAACATTTTGTATAATTAAATGAATATAGTCTCAATAGACTTTTAATGATTTGTTATTTTTTATAGCCAATGTTGATATGTCTGTATCATTACGTGATGTATTGTTGAATATTGAAGACACAACTTTTGCCACATTAGCTGCTATGTCTTCTACAATAAGAATTGAAGATGAAACATCACCAGATGATGAATGTTTAAGTCCCACTGAATCTGAGTCAGCTGAATTTCCACATAGTAAAACAGGTATATTAAATTCTGGTAAAAAAAAAATCTTTAGGACCAAACATTATAATATGAAAATTGTATACAATATAAGGACAGTATAAAACGGGGTAAATAGATACAAAATCGAGAAAGTTATTACTCTTACATCTCCCCAACCGGAATATTTGTGTTATAAATATGAATCCTTCACTAAACTTAGTACACATTAGAACGAAATTTGATGAACTCTAAACGCTCTGTTTATCTATACCGCCATACGGCTAAACATTGAAAAACAACGATTAATAATGATCCTAATAAATTATTACAAAGTCAACAGTTCTTGTTATTATGTAAATATTATAAAAATTCTCGTTTCCTTGTTATAATCTATTTTAAATATAGTAAAAATAATAATCATTTAAATATATAGGTTATACTGACTTTTGCCATTTTAGGGGTGAATAGAAACACAGTTGTAATGATTCATACATATGTATTGTATTGGTCAAATTTAAAAAAAACAACAAACCATTTTTGTCGGGACTTTTTTAAGATAAAACAGTGACCATAAAGGTATAGTATGTGGTTTTCCAGAAATTAGGGGAAAATTGTTGCAAATTTACTTGCATTTTTGCTCATTTGTTTTTTCAATTGAAATATTTAATTTTAAAATATACAAGAAATAGTTTTTATTTAACAATTTTGTTCTCTTCACTTTTAAAAATCTCAATAATTGTTTCTATCTACCATTTAGTTAGTAAAATAGAAAAAAACATAAATGTTTCTATTGACACCATCTTTCAGGGGAATAGAAATAAAAAACTTAACAAAATGGTATATTAAATAATTTGTTTAACATAAAAAAAATTTGAATATACATACTTAAAATGCTCAACGAGGTCAATATTTTGTTGTATTGTTCATCTATAAAGCCCAAATATTAAAGTTTTTATGATACTTTAAAGTTCAAAAGTGTTTCTATTCACCATGTTTTAGGTGGTATAAACAAAGAATTATTTTTAAAATTACTTACTCAATAGAATATTTTCTATTTTTATTTTAAATTTTGCATACATTTTTGTAATGAACCATTCATTAATATTATATCAAATATATTGACAATAAAACTAATATTTTAATACAAAATTTATTTTAAAAATGGTCAAATCTAATATTTTGTTCAAATAATATTTATATTATCCAATATTATGAAATTAATGATCTAATTGAAGTATTGATTGCATTATTGTAAAAAATTTGTACCTATTTTAATCTCTTAAAATTTGTGTTATAATAAAATTATATTGTTAAAAATATTTAGGTACCTTTTTAAAACTTATAAAATCCTTTTTATATTTATTATACAATTAACTTTAATGTAAAAAAAAAAACCTCTGTTATACATATAAATACTATTACTTCTATACCAGATTGTGTTTTTGGTGCAGTTTTTTTAGTATATTTTTTACATGTATAGTAAAATTCTATTTTCACTTACAGAATCTACAAATAATGATAAACGTGACAGTATGTCACCAATTTTGCGATGCAATATCTCTAAATCCGGTTCTTTTTCATCAGACACTAGAGATTTTTTTGATGATGAGATAGCTGATCAACCAGCACTTATGTTTAGTGGGCCTCCATCAGAGTCTTGCAATGCAGAAGATATTGATGATGCTATATTTCGACTTGGAAACCATTCCAGTTGTAACAAAAAATGTAATTGTTTATTGATTTATTTACTTTAATATTTAAAATTTAACTAAAAAGTAAAACATAGTCAGACAGTTTAATTATAATTTTATAATGATTATACGTATTGTTTTTCCCAATTACAGCCAAATCCCTGAGAAGATCACTAAGTGCTGATGGGTCCTTAAGTGAGAGTCTCAACTCTGACGATCTGATGCTTGATGTTGACTATGATCAAACAGATGATAAATTGGTCGATCCTGATAATGAAGACCTATTGAAAACACTGGAGAGTACCAAACAAAACGCATTTAATGAATGGAAATCTTTGACATCTCCGAGGTGGGTATATTGAATAATAATTACGTATTTACATGGCTTACGTGTATGTAATACTATGTAATTACATAATAACCGTGTACCGTGTAGAGGAATAGTAATGTAATATACACAATACAAGCTACTCATAACACAGTGGTAGATCACTAGATCCTAAGCGTAGACGCGTAGTACACAGTACACACGGACATATGAGTAAAAAATTGATAATATCAGGTGGGGGGGGGGAAATATTTCATTGTTGTATTTGAATAAAGAGAGGCAATGTTAATGACCTTGGACGTGTAACGTACCTATAGCAGTGTTGAGTGTTCCACAACTGCCTGCATCTGAGTCATTAAACCGGTTAACCATACGCTGTGTAGTCTGTTTTCCCGTCACTTATTTTTTTCCTCAATTTTTAATAAGATAGGATCAAACCTTTCTCCTTACGTGTTTTCTTTTTGGCCATTTCACAAACACATCGAAATAAAACTATAAAAAAAGTACTCAATGCATAATTTACATTATTCGTGTTAAAATTTCGAAATGATAAAAGCATTTAACAGGTCTAAACGAGTGTTTAAAAGGTAAAATTAGTCTAAAGCTAATAAAATTAAAATTCAATGTACAACGAAAAAACGATAATATGATATTTAAATTGAATATGCCTATTACCTGCAAACACAAATTTATAATATTGTTTTTATATTTATCCTTTTAGAAACAGTAGTAGTTCACTCAAAGACGAAGTTCCGGTCAAAGATGAAACGGATTCTAAAGTAAGTAGGAAATTTAATTTCAATTCGTGGGCGGTATTGACAATTTTGAGTAATTTTGAAGTGGTTATTAGGGCAGCAATGGGGATGTGCTAATGAGCTTCGATCGGTTTCGAGAGGTAACGGACGACATAGCGAGTATCAAGAACATGCTATTCGAACTAAACCGTGCCCTAATAGAGGTAATTTTAATAATATTTTTAATTATTTACAAGTGTTTAATCTTTGATAATGATTATATATAATGACGATTGATAAATAAATAATTTTTAAATAACATATTTTAGTAAATACTAAATACCAGCCTATATATAACATAGTTTAATTAAAAACAATTTTAAAAATAGATTACGTCTATTTAAAGTAAATAATAAAAACATTAGTGATCATTTCAAATTCCAAGGTCTATTTTAAGATTTTTGTTTATAACCATTTGTCAAGGTTGAAAAACCATTAATCTTATGTCCTTTAACTGAATTATTTAAGGATCATCATTCGACATTCACAATATTATTTTTTATCTCATATTCTTATATAGAAGGTGATTTGTATGTAATTCTAGGACAAGCAAGATATAACCTACCCAGAAGACCAGGAAGTTCATTGCTGTTACGAGAATCAAATCTTGGATTTGAAACAACAGGTTGGTTGAATTATTTCATATTATACATATTAGATAGGTACATGTCTCCATTTATTTTCAAAATAACTAGTCACTGTTTTAAACTTTAATTAATAAATTCAAAATGTGTCTTGTTTTTCATTTTAAAACACCTCATTAAATAGAAAATACTTAGATAGAAGCATGATTTGCATGATTATTTTAATGCTAAGCAGTTTAAATATGAGGGAAATATGTATTTTTAAATATCCCACTGTGTTTCGGAGACAAGTATGCATTTTCCTTGATCAGGAGCTGAGTTGCGGATCGTCCGTTTCAGATAGCTTATATGGCCCAACAAATGGAACAGAAGGACCGTACTATTCAAATGCTCAACGAACAGATAGCACAACGACCACGGCCATCAATAACAACAGTAGAAACCCGAAATGCTGCCACTCAAACAGACAGAGTATGTAATTATAATAACGATTATACAGGGTGATTCACCAATGCACGCTCACCCCTTTTTTTCAACAATGCAGTTAAAATCTGAATTTTAAAATTTACTTTAAGATTATATTTTCAAATTCTTCAGCCAAAGTTTTAACCGATATTTGTTGTACTACTTAGGGAGTAGTAATGTCCATCCTGTATACAAACATCTATTTTTCAAATGAAAAAGGTGGTTAATAGTGTAAATTTTTTAAAGAATAATTTTCTGGGTATTCGTTTAGTGTGTGACCTACCAGACCGTGTGACCTACTATATTGGGTATTCATTTAGTATGTGATCTACGGACTGATAATTCATTTAAAAGCAATCAAATTAAAAACCATGAAGTTATGTTAGATTATTTAATTAATAAATTAGTAATACAAAAATAAAATAATACAGGATTACAGTTAACAATGTCAAAAACAGTCAAACAAAATATCATTTAAAAGGAATGTATGAATACTCATAGGTACCTAGCAGCAATAACAGCCTATAACCGCAGTATGTCAAAACTATTCAAAAAATCGGCCAAGTGCGGTCCGTAGCATCATCTATAAACATGTTGGCAACACTGCTTATATTATATATTTTAGGATTTTTAGTATTTGTTGTTAATAGCAGCCACAGAAATACATAATCTGTGAAAATTTCAACTTTCTATCTTTCGTGGTTCATGAGATACAGCCTGGTGACAGACGGACAGACAGCGGAGACTTAGTAATAGGCTTCCGTTTTACCGTACGGAACCCTAAAAATGTCATAAAATTATATTATTATAAAAAATTGTATTAAATTTTTAAAATATTTTTAGCAATACACTTTGGTAATTATTTAAAAAACTTCAAAAATGTATTTTACTTGTTTATAGATCGGTGCCTGTACGTTGCTTGCCCATACATAATATAGATAATTGTCTTTGTAGGTCACATACTAAACTCGATTTTCACTCAGTAGGTCACATACACAAATACCTTTTTCTGAAAACTATATGTTGTATCAAGATCAAAATTTTAACTAGTAGTTAGTGAGTTTTTTGACTTTGTATACTGAGGATAGGAAAATAAGTCAATGATTTCAGTTTGAAATATATGGGGTTTATGGTTAATATGTTGTAATTAATATTAATCTCAGTTTAATAACTTAAACTAACTAGATCCAATAAAATTACATCTATTTTATATTTTTGTAAAACTATATTATGAACTATTATAACCTTAGTATAAACATTCTAATAGAAGTTTGTATTGCAACGAGACACTCCTAAGTAGTATAAAATATTAAGAATTTATAATTATAAACAGAATAAATTCATTTTTAAAGAAAAAATTAGAATAAGAAGTGACTGCTTGAAGAATCACCCTTTATGTTATATACAGTATATCCCTTATCACTCTTAGTATCTCCGTGGAAAATCAATATATTTAAATGCAGTTTTTTTACAGTCATAAGTATGAAAATTCTGATTGAATAGCATAATTTTCGATTTTTTTTTTTCAAAAATTCAAAAAATATCAATATATTTTTTAGGCAAATAAGTTTTTTAAATTTCCAAAAGCCATTGTGTTGATTGTATTTTTTAAAACAGTTGAAAAAAATTTATTTAAATTTAATGAAAATCGCCCAAGTTAGAACTAATTATTAATTTTTAATTTTAGCTGAAAAATCAGCGTGATTGTAATAATTAACATGCGATTCATAAATTGTTGATGCCGTATGCAAAGGTAACAACACTATTATTCTTTGAAATTGAAAATAATAATTAGCCACTAACTTGGGCAATTTTCATTACATTTTAATATTATTTTTTTTTTTGAACTGTTTTAAAAAATACGATCAAAAGAATGGCTATCTTGGAAATTTAAAAAACTTATTTGCCTAAAAAATATTTTGATATTTTTTGAATTTTTAAAAAAATATCCGAAATTATGCTACTCAATCAGAATTTCCATACTTATGACTGTAAAAAAACTGCATTTAAATATATTGATTTTCCAGGGAGGTACTAAGGGTGATACGGGACTTCTGGGACATACTGTATATTTATTTGATTTATTTGATTTTTTAAGTGTCGGTCGACCACAGCTCCAACATTATGCACATTCGATAGAGAAGGACAAGCAAATGGTCGTCCCGTAATAAGGTGACTAATTTTATAATTTATTTATATACCTATATATTGTATTTGTATTAAATATATTACTATTTACACATGGAATATATGTTATGTGTTTATGCAAACAATGACGCGATTTCTGTCAACAATAGCTTCGCGTTGGGACAGGTAGATAAACTAGACATGGTGTTTTGTTTATTCGCAATGTGTGCGTTCGATTATTTCTGCTTGTCTATAATAATGCTTTGACCATCTGGCACCTACTCTTACATGAGCATGAAGGTAGTTTAAGTATAGGTTTATAATGTTTTTGTTTTTAATTATATTAATGAATAAGGGTTAGTATAAAATGTCAATGGAATAAATTATGAATTATTTAAATATTTTATTATATGTTATAATATACTATCTTCCTTAATTTAATATTTTAAACTTATACTTAATTTACTTTATTAATCTTTATACATTAATTAATGTAGTAGGTCCTTTTTTTCATATAAACAATATTAACATGTAGTTAACATATAATATATTACTTATGCATGTTAGTACTTTTTAAACTACCTAACCATTATTTACTTCCCACATTGCATGGTAATCTATTCCACATTTTTAAAGACGAGATACATTTTGAATTTAAATAATGGTAAATTGTACTAGTATGCACTATTTAAGTCATTAAGTGATGTAATGATTTACAAAACCAATTTTTATCTAATTATTGTTTATCAAATAACTAATAATATATTAATTAAGATCTCATGGTTATATTGTCATAATGTGTGATAAAAATGTTTTGCTATTATAATGGCTCAGGGTATTGCCCTAAAATGTTTGTGTATAAATTAACATAATATAAAATAACAATGGTAGTGAAAGACAAATAAATTAAACAATTTAGTAACCTTAGTAATATCACAGACTATATGAAAATAATATTTTAATTATATTTTCATATAGTCTGTGGTAATATTTCACAATACATGTTTTTAGTTATTATGATACATATATTACAATAAAATAACTGTTAAAACTTAAAATCCTATAAATCACAAAAAAAAAAAAAAAAACAAGTTCAAATAAATGTATTAAGTCTAATGTACCAATAAAAAGTAAAGCCAAGTCATTATAACATAAGTGTAAAATTAAACACTGTATATTTAATTTTTTTTAAATTTATTATCCCAATAATTAATTAAAAATAATTATACTAACATTGACTCTAGATAAAAAATATATTTTATTACATTTTTTCAATTATATGTAGAAGTCACACATTTTAACACAAAAAGGCTTAAGAATTTAAAATTGGTAATTATAAATGTTTAATAAATAAAAAAAAAATGAAATTGTATAGCTATTACATGCTCTTTGCTAGACTAAAGTTTTCATACTTTTCATTAATTTCAAATAAATTTTAAAATGTATAATTTAAATAAATATTATAATGGTGGAAGAAAGCCTGTTACTTTGCAAAACTATTGAAAATCTACTTTTAAGAGAAAAGAATTTAATATTTCAAACTATAAAATGACTTCTTTAAAGTTCAATCTACTTTTAATTTGCTACTTGAAACATAAGCATAAGGTGATAAGATCACTCCGCACAAAAAAATTATTACAGACATGTAAAACTCAATCACTAGTATCTTTGAAAATAATAATGTACAGCTTAATTTAAATAATTTTTAATTTAAAATTTGTATCACACAAAGTGAAAAATTATGTTTAACTGTTGTTATTATAATGTAAAAAAATACTATAAATAACCTGTTGATCGTGTTTTATTAATATTTCTATAAAAACAAATTCCAATATTTATCACATATTATTAAAAACACACAATGATGTTATTATACATTTTTAGGTGCAGTGACATGACAGAGAGATCAAAGTCTGTGTCGGGCAATCGCATACGTATCGGCATGCTAAAGCACAAATTTCTCATGGACGCAGGACGTACGTTGCCGAACGTTTGATTCCTTCCATACGTTCTCTTCGACCAGTATTAACAAAAACATTCCATGTTTAATGTTCCATTAATAGTTAAATTTAAAAAAAAATTTAAATTACCATTTATTTTTTACAATCAATAAGTTTGTCCACGTGTAATATACAAGTTTTGTTTCCAATGTACAATTTATGTTCTTTATATATATATATATAATTTATTTATTTTTCGTGTAAATTAAACGAGGGGTTCTTTGCTTAAAATAAGTAATCTTTTTTCCACTTTACCAAAATCAAACTAGTCAATCTTTGTTTTGTTTATATGAATTATATATTTTGTTTGTGTTACATTCAATAACATTTTTCTAGAATAAAATTATTATGATTTAAACATAAGGGACCTACCTATTCCTTTAAATAATAATTATTTTATACTTAAAATGTTTTCATTAAATACATTAAACTTCCAACAATAGTTATGTTATTAAAACAAAAATAAATGAATATTTAGTTTATTGTACCTACCTATGTATTATAAATATAGGAGTCAATGTTTATTATACTCTTTTAATTACTGTACTTAGTGATTATAAGACATAAATACTTTATTTATTAACCTTATTTCAAAGCTGTTATTATTTCCTTTGAAATATTATGCCAGGACTTAATTGTTACTGTTTGTATTTTTTTTTTTAGTCGTTCTTGCTCTTCTGCTAGGTAATCTTTTTGTATTTTAAGAGCTGTACAAGTTTTGTGATCTTTTTGATTAGCTTTATTTTATAACAATGTAAAAATATATATTACATTTTAAATAAATCAATATTAACTTTATTATTATACCAATAGCTCTCTGTACTCAATACCTTGTTAAATTAAATGTTATACATACTGTATTTTCAGCTCTTAATTAATATTATTTTAACTTTTAACACTAAATATCTTGACAAATTTATTACCTTATTTTTAGAATTTGCAAAACAATTCAATAATTATTGATACTTTGAATATAAAATATGATTTTTCTTTTGACTAATTTAATATAATATTCAGTGGGTAAAATATTTAGAACGTTTCAAAACAAGCTTTGGTATTTGTTTAAATTTATGTAAATGTAGTGTGGTGTTTGACTTCTGTTACAAACATGTTCTGAGTGCCAGCACTGTCCAATGTCGCTAGATCCCAGATGGGTGACCACCCAGGTTTTGGGGACAAATCTTTGCCACACATACATTTTTTAACTTGTGTTACTTTTCAGAAAAGTTTACCTTATTTATTTTTCCAATTAAGGGTAATGCATATCGACCATTTCTAAAGAGTTCAGTATAGCCAATTTTCTAATTATGTGCAAGAGGGCCGTGTAAATGTGTGGGTAGTAAGTGATTATTAGTGTGAGTGACTGTATAAAATAAATAGTGGAGCACACCCGCACGGGCACGCACATGTCAGTAGCGCAACATTTTACATTCTAATTACAAATGTGAATTTTAGTGAAACCTAAAACTTGGTTTTGTATTTCCAATAATATAGCTTACTGAGTGACATTACAGTATGAACACCTATTATACTAATTGAAGAGAAGAAGTTTATCTTGGCTTGTATAGGAGTCGATTTTCGATATTTTTTTTCAATGTCTGATATTTAACTCTAACACTTGTGATATTTTACTTTTTGAATTTAAATTATTGAGTTTAGTAATTACAAATATCAAAAATTGACTTCTATACAGGCACATATTAACTTCTCTTCTACAATATTGATAATAGGGGTTTTTACTCTCAAACTGCTCAATAAACTGTATATTATTGGAAATACAAAAGTACATTTTTATACTATTCATACCCCAAAAACTGACCGGGTAGTGTTTTTTCTATGAAGACCAGGTTCTTACCAACCCTGCCTAGTATGCTGAAAATTTAAAAGTATCATGGATCATTTATTATAATTTAAAAAAAGGTTATTAAACACAATTACAAAAATTAAGTTAAATTTATAATTTAAATACCTATGCGATTTATGCAATTCATGTTTTCTAAATTATTTGTCTACAAATGATTATGTAGATAACTTTACGTAGGTAATATTGGTAATAATATAGGCACAGACGCACAGTGAATTATATGTTGTGATGTATGTTCCACTAGAAAAATGTTGGTAAGAAAATTCAGTGGATTCCAAGATATATATTGTCAATCATAAATTTGCACACATAGTTGTCTATCTAAAACCGGAAAATCTATTGCTGTTGTTTTATGGTCTGTGATGCGGGTCTTGGGTCATTCACCCAAATTCTAAATAGTATGTACTCGTTAAAATGGCATTAACTATAATAGTTCATATAGTTTATAGCATTCTTGTGACATAAATAGGCACTATAGTCTATAGTAACTAGTGATATATTTATAAATTAATATCTTTTATTTTTTATCTGTATACTATTTTATCATTTAATTTCTTTAAAACCTGAGCTGCTGAATATGGGTCTTAAATATAAGATCTTCCATTCTAAAATCATAAGCAAAGGTTGATATAAAGTTTATGGTGTTCAATACGAAGGTATTAGACATTATTCAAAAGAAGATAGGTACCTACTTAAAAGTTACAAATATCAAGTGATTGGAAAAGAGTGAATATATCGTAGGTAACAACTGCTGTACAGTAGGTGTTAAGTACTCGAGCCTATCTGGTGTCTCGCCATTGAGTAAGTCGCTGTAATGTAGGTGTTTGAACACTAATTGATATAAGCATGTATTCAATTTGAATTAAACCATAAATCATTGTATACGAAAAACGTACATATTGCTATTACGGTATTTTATTTTACTATTAATAATACGGTAAGTGGAATTAATTTCTGAAGAAAACTGTATATTTATTTTATTATTAAGATTTATATCATATTATTGACTATTGTTATGAACTTTTGAGTCAAAATTGACCTACCGTAGAACTGTGTGAATAGGTTCGTTGGCAATAACATGCAATTAATCTAAATATTTTAAAAATTGGATTCTGACATTGAGTAAATTAATTATAATATACGTATACCTATGTGAAATTTCAGATCTCCGAGGTAAATATTTTTGTCCTACAATAAAATAACTAAAATCGTTATTCTTCGTTTAAATATCTAACTTCGTACCAGTTTAAATTTCAAATATCTATAAACCAAAATTATGCTTTTCATTATGTATTTTTTAGAGATTTTTGTTTCGGCAGGTAAACTCTATATTGGGTAAATTACTAAGTATATACTAAGGTAATAAAAGTACGTTACTCATTACTTCAAATATTTTTATTTAAATTACATTACTTTTTCACTAATAAAGTAGTGCCTTAAAATAACCTTACTTTTTTTTATATTTTTTTTAAGCATATTCAATTTATATGATTCATTATGTACCTATATATATTTTGCAATCATAGACCTAGTGATAATAGGTGTAGGTACCTATTATGTACGAATGTACAATCCTCCATCTGTATGGCTATAAAGTCATAAGTCATAAATCATAAATCATAATTCATTTTAATTAAATTTTATTTTTAAACTGAACTTTTTTCTTTCTGCTAATAAAGTGATAACATTTATTCCTGGAATGATTAATAATATTGTTAACTATTATCGGAATCGAAAATAAATATAATTGATTTTTAATTTGTCTGGATTATCCCGATTATCACCCTAACGGCTTGTTTTTGTAATACATTCAAAACTATCTTAGTAGGTAACGTGGAAAATAACTCGTTAATCATGACAAATTATATAGGTATGTCAGCAATATTACGGATTTAGAAACAAATCGCGCACCCACCCTCCGCCCAGCCCTTTATTTTTATTTTGTCATGTCGTTAATTACTTTTTAAAAATAATTTTATATTTTTATTACAAATGCGTTACTTAGAGTAAAATGTAATGAAATTACTGCTGCGTTACTGAAAAGGTAATTGCGTTATAGTAATTTGTAATTTGCTTTACGTTACTACCCTCAACACTGGGTATATTGAAGAAGGAATGTATGAACTTCAAAAAAAAAAAATTCTTTAGTCATGAAGAACTCGACTTTTTTATTAATAGTTTAAGGTTTTGACAACTGATGTCTGATTGTCGTTCTGTACTTGTGTATCGTGTACTAAATGTGTACCGAGACCTATAATAATAATATGTGGTCCACTAAAAATCGTTGTCCATTACAGATCAAATAGGAAGGATAGGTAAGATTAATTGAAGTTTTAATATCATCTATCTTATAAAGACATAAAGTTATACATTATCGTCCAAATGTTATAGAAGACGCAGTGGCGCCCAACCCTATTTCTAAGTGTAGCGGTCCCTACACCTTGAAAATAAGGGGTGGATGGGTATAATACCAAAAAATAATAAACTTGAAATATGTTCATAATTAATCACAGATTATATTGGTTGATATCTTAATATTTACTAATATTATCAATACAAATATGATAAAATGTATTAAATAATATAATTTTTGAGTTTTGAGGGGGTGGGTGGGTGGGTAAAATGTTTTCTTGCTACATCTGAAAAATATATCTTGGGCGCCACTGAGAAGACGTAATATTTTATTTCAGCGAGTTAATTTTTACAGAGTTATACATAATGTTATAATAGGAGTACCTATTAATATCGTGGTATAAGATATTATTATCGTTAATGTTTTTAATTATTATATATATTATTAATTCATTTTTTGAATGACAAGAATATCTATAGGTACCTACTATATAGGACATAGGTAAATACCTATATAATATATGTTATATTTGCAATTCAATATTAACAATGTGGTAATTACACTATAATATTATTAATATTATTTTACATTTGGCCAACAAATAATATTTTATTGATATTTGTGGAAAAAAACTAAAAATTTGAAATTTGAAATTGTCCGTTAATAGCTCAAAAATAATTAAAATATTTTGAATATTTTATCAAGCATAGACAATTGATAAAATAAACATGATATAAATTTCAAGTTTCTATGGTTATTCGTTTTTGAATTACAGCAAA